CCTGGGGGGGGCTGACTGCAGCCCCAAACTCAGAAGCCCATTGTTATTTAAGCGGTGGGTCATACTGGGCCAGCCTCTCCCCAAGGTCTCACCCTCTCCTCCCACACCTGCTGGAGCTCCCTGTGGCCAGCAGGCCAGGGTCACCTGTGCGGGTCTACCTCTGGCTGGCCCTTCCTCTTCTGTCCAGAGCGACCCAAGAAAGGGCTTGGAGCGTCCGCTCTGACAGTCCGCCTGCAGAGGCGTCTTGTTGAAGCAGCAGGCCTGGAGGTTGGGCCCAGTTCTCTGGGCAGGGCTGTTTGCGAAATGAACGGAGACGGGCTGGAAACTGCCGATCCTTCTCTGCCGGGTCTCGTGGCAGCCAAGCCCGGCACATCCACGCGGCAGCGCCCACAGAGAAGCCTGTGTTTAGAAGTCGGTTTATCTTCTGCCTTTTGGGTATCTGCTCTTGGGCTGAGTCTGTAATCTGTTGGAAAATGGGGATAGTGGTACCCACCTTGGGACACATGGTCAGTGCATGTAAAGTGACCACTGTGACGGCAGGCTCAGTGCTCATCCTCTTGGTGTTCTTGCTCCTTCATTAGCTTGTTGGCTCCCGTCCCTGCCAGCTGGGCCCCAGTCCCGGGGGAGCATGACGCTGCAGCCCAGTCCCGCTGGGTCAGATCCTGGCTCGGCTCTAACCTGCTGTGTGGCTGGGGGTTAGTCTATGGCCGTCTCTGGGCCTAGGCTCCCATCTGTAACAGGTGGTGGTTGGGCTGCATCATCTCTCCAAGGTTCTTTCCATCTGTGATGATCCAAGTGTCCAAGGTTGTAGGTCCTTACTTTCCAACCCCCTTTTCTCTCTCCCAGGCCCTTAGCCACCTCCCACTCTCGCTCCCCATTCCTGTGGCCAAATTCGAATCTAACACCACCTTCGTCCACTCCTCCCTGCTGTCTCCTCCCACCCCACCCCCATCTGTTCTAGCTGCCTTTGCGTAGGCTCCACCTTGGGCCTGGGATGTTCCTCCCCAGGGGGCCGAAAGACTCCTTCCCTCGCCACCTTCAAGCCTTGCTTCAAGGTCACCTTTTCTAGAGAGGCCTCTGTACCCTATTCGATGCACCCTATGCAAACCCCTTTCGTCCCTCAGCACCCCTCTCCCCTTCCCACCTCATTCTCCTCCCTAGCCTTCGGCACATTTGGGAGTTAGGCACTGTGTCCAGCATATATTGATTGGGGACCACGGGTGTGAACATGGGTGAGAGATTCTCTCACGGAGGCAGGAATGAGTCCAGCTCACTGCTGGACCCCAGCACTGAGCACGGCTGTGCACAGAGGAGGCGCCCTCTCCGTGCTGTGTGAATGGACTCATGAGCCGCCTCCGCCTGTGGGCAACAATATGCCTGGTGTTCTCCCTCGGGCTAATGGGTGTTTTGCTCCCCGCTCAGAGAACGGGTAGAAACATCCTGATTCTGGACTTACCTCGTTCTCCCAGTGACTTCGATCTTGGAAGGTAAACAAGAGAAACCACCGAGGGGCCCAGCACTGGCGTTGGCCGAGCATTTTGGACAGGTCCTTTGACATTGATCAGCCCACTTTCAGCTTCACTCTACAAGGCCGGACTTGGCCTCGTTTTTCTGCCGACAGAACCGAGCTTCAGAAAGAGGACTTTCCCAGGGCTCCCAGCCAAGAGAACAGGGGGTTTAATGTCGTTTTGTCTGGTGCCAGCGCCTGTGCCATCCACGCCCTCACCCTACAGTCAGTTTTGGAGGAAGAGATGTTCAGAACCACCTTCTCCTCTGAGAGTTGTGTCAGCTGCTTGTCAGATGGAAGGGTCCTCCAGAAGGACCCTTAGATGGAGGTGGGGTATGACTCTTGCCGGGCCTTGCTGTGCCATCTAGAGCAATTAAACCTCAGTCTTCCTAACTGCAAAATGGGGATGGTAAAACCTACTCCAGAATGGTTTTGAGAGGATTGGGCGACAGAGGTTGTGAAGTGCTGAGCACGGTGTCTGACACATCCTAAGTGCTCAATAAAGGGAAGGATGGTGATGTAGGAGAGATGCTGGCTGGGCGGTGGGCGTGGTGCCCTCCTTTACATGCAAGCAGGAGCCAAGGAAAAAGGGCCCTGCGTTGTCCTCTGTGGGCTGTGACATTCAGGTCTCCAGTGGCTCCACTGCACTTGGACCAGAACAAGAGAGAACAAGGGCAACCAGGAAGGCTGCTTCTGGAGCTGTAGGAGCCCTAAGGGGTCTTTCAGCACAGGTGGGGAGACTGGGACCCAGAGAGCGAGGAAAACAATGGGGTCAAGGTAAGTTAGAGCAAAAAGGCATCCAGGAGTGATGGAGACAGTGTCCCTTTAAGTGCAGAATGAATACCCCTCCTACCCTCAGCTCTAACCTTTGGCCTCACTCACCTGCAGCTCCAGAGCAGAGAGTCTGTCTGTGACGTCACAGAGCCTGGGAACTGAGGCACAGAATGTTTATTAGGGATCTTGGTCAAGGTGACGCAGCAGCTGATAGTTGGCAGGAGGAGGATGGATCAGAGGCGGGGGCATTTGAAAGGCTCAGGGTTGATATTGTTCACTTGTTTCACAAATGGATTGTAACACTTTAGTTCCTTCTCCGCTAGGGAGGGAATACTGGTCTGTCACCTGCTGCCGCCACTTCCCTTTGTTCTGTCCTCGCCTCTGAGCTACGGTGACGTGAGGGAGATTTGCCCCAGCGCCGGTGATCAGTGGGGGCTCACTCTCCTGATCAGTCAGCTGCCCAGCTAACTTAATTGTATCTCCACCCTTGATCCCCTTTTGTAAGGTAACATAGCCACGGGCTCTGCGAAGTCCGACAAAGACATCTTTGGGGGGCCGTTATTCTGCCAACCACAGTCCTGAAGTACTTGTAGCAAGGAAATAAATTCCCAACTCAAAATGCTAGAAAAGGAACATCAAAGAAATCAAAAGAATATACAAGGAAAAGAAGTACCAAAATTAAAAACTGAAATTAAGTAGAGTATACGAAACAGTGGATCTAATTGATACATCAAAATCTTTTTTTTAAAAAGTGAGCAAAATTGAAATTTATCTTAATTGGGAAAAAGGGAGAAAACACAAATATATAAAATTAGAAAGGATAAGGGGAAATAACCATTGAGACAAAGAAAATTTTTAAAAATTTGAGAGTACTTTATATATCTGTATGCAAATACATTTGTAAAACTAGATGAAGTAGATAATTTCCTAGGGAAATAGTTTATCAAAATGACTACATTAGAGACAGAAAACTTTATTAATTACTATACAAAAAAGTAGGGACATTTATAAAAAACTACCCTCCCCCAATAAAAGGCAACAGGCCCAGATGGTTTCACAGGGGAATTCAACCAAACTTTCAAAGACTGGATAGTTCCAATGCTACATAAATTGTTCCAGAACATATACAATGAAGGACAGCTTCCACATTCTTTTTATGAAATTTTTTATGAAGCAAATATATAATAATATTGGTAACGAAGTCTGATAAAGATAATGCAAAAAAAATTACAGTGATGACACCTATTGATACAAAACTATTAAAATATTAGTGAGCTGAATCATACTTTGTATTATGAAAATAATACATTATGATCAAGTAGAATTTATTTGTGGATGGATGAGGAGTTTATTCCTCCATAGATGTTAGAAAAAAAAAAAAAGAAATTAATGGATATTTTCTTAATATGATAGCTCTATCTCTATTGCAATCTCTTTGTCCTAAACTGGGCTTTTTCCTTAATGGGCAAATACTAGTGGTATTTCTTTTAAAATAAAGAAAAAGCACAGATATCCACTACCTCTACTATGTAACAATGTACTTGTGGTATTAGCCATTGTAATTAGACAAGATAAATCAGAGATAGAAGAATTAGAAAAGGAAGAAGCTAAAGTATGTCTACTTGCAGATGGTATAGTAATATTCCTGGTAATCTGTAATGGAATCAGTGACAAAACTAGCTTAACCAATAACAATTCAGGAGGGAAGCAAGACAAAATAACAGTTAACTCAATAGTGTTAGTACACACAAGCAATAACTAGTTACAGTATTAATGATAGAGGAAAAACTCCATTTACAATGGCAACAGAAAAGATAAAGTACTTAGGAATAAATTCAATAAGAAATTTGCAAAATTTACGTGAAGACATTTAAAAAGAACCATGAAAGACAAAAAAGTATGTTTGAACAAATGAAAAGCCATTTGTAGATGGGAGGACTCAACACCACACAGGTGTCAGATTAAAAAATAAAATGACATGACTCCTGCATGCAGTTGATGGTCTTGACTCAGATCCTGGGCTGGGCAAAAAAGTCTCTGGAAGACATTTTTGGGACAACTGATGAAATTGGAATAGCATTGTATCAATGTTGACTTTCTTGCTTTTGATCATTGCACCGTAGTTATGCAAGACTATCCGTGATCTCAGGAAATGCACTGAAGAATTCAGGGGTAAAGGGACATGCTGTGCACAACTCACTCCCCAGTGGCTTAGGAAGATAGTTCTGGGGAGAGGTAGGAAAGACATGGTGGAGCAAATGGAGGCGATGGAAACTGGCAAATCTGGGTAAAAGTGAATAGTTCTTGGTACTATTCTTGCAGCTTTTCTGTTAAATTGGAAATTATCTCCGAGTTCAAGAAAAAGCTATCCAAAAAGTTAAAAAAATCTGCTTTGGGTTAGTTAGATGTTAGGTTAGCCTATTTAAAAAGGGTAAGACATTCTGGAAGCGAGTCTCCCTGGGAAGGGGCCGGGGAAAGAAGGACACAGTCCTGTGATGTGACCAAGGAGTTTAATTGGAGGCAGCTCCTCCCTCGGTGGCTTTTCCGGGAGCTGCAGTGACTCTTGCTGGCGGCCCAGGGGTGGCTCAGACGTCTCCTCCTCCTCGGGGGAAGTTTCCGAATCAGTCTTCATGGCTCCTGGTGGCCTCCCTCTTCTCCCGGAGTCCCTCCAGCAGCTGCGCTGCCTTGGAGACCTGCGTGGGGTCCCCAACTAGAATTTTCAGGGTCTCCCAGTGAGGCATGGGTGACGTGGCCATCGAGTCTGGGAGTGGCGGTCTAGGTCTCTCTTGTGAACACCTCTTTGGGGACCATCTGTATTCATATATGAAAGAAGAAAGGAAAAAATCACGCCGGGTGAAGCCTTTGCATTGGGCCTGGCTGGACTGTCCTGGTTGCCTCCACCCCGGACCCTTGTCTGATTCTGGAATACTGTATGAGCCGTGCAGACTGCAGCCAGGGACTCAGACTGCAGAGAGGGACAAGGCCCATGCCCCAGGGGTTCCTGGTCCGTGTCAAGACCCCAGCCTTCGGCAGTCGGTTCTGCACTGTGTTCGTACAGTGCAGGGGTGCGATCACGGGTACGTCCAGGGATGGTACGGGGCCTCGCCAAGAGCAGTGTCCCGGAGAGGGAGAGTTAGGCCCATCCCGGTTCTGATAATGATGCCACTCCCTGGTGGGCTTCTGGAAAGTTCCTTCCCCCTGTGGACCTCAGCTTTCCCTATGCAATGAGATGTGGTTTTTAAACTGGGTTCCATGGAGCCCTCTGGGGAGTGTGGAGGGGAGAAGAAGGGGAGGGCTAGCTCCTGGCCTCCTACCCTCCACTTAAGTTAAGCCGACCCCTTTGACCTTTTATAGAAATTGGACTTGGTGTCAGGTTGTCTGCAAGGAGGGTTTAGCTCTTGTGAGAATTCTGCAGTGACTGGGCTGGCTGATCCTCAGTTCAGCAGCTGGCCTCCTAGGGTGGCTGTGAGTGTGTGAGGCCACCCGGGCACAGCACTGGTGGCCAGCAATGTGGCCGTTTCTTCAGGACTGGGCTCCACAACCCAGAGACGTCCCACCCCCACTAGGGCTATGGATGTGCTCAGTCCACAGGCCTTTTCTGGCGGTTGACTTGCCACGCGCCTGGCTGTGTTTAGGGGAACAAAACCCACAGGGGCCCTGTCCTCCTGGAGCTTACTGTCTAGAGCCCAAGGCAGACATTAAGCAATAATCACACAAATACACACACATAACAATGCCACAGGACTTCGAAGGGGAGTGTGGGTGTGTGTTCTCTCTCCCAAGATTTGCTACTCGGGAGCCCCCAGAGCAGATCACGCAGGCAGGTCTTAACCCTTGGCCCCTCTCCAGCGTGCTCTAGAATACGACGGGAGTAATCCTGTCCCTCTTGTCACCCCACCTAACTCAAATATCAGTGGGGTTTGGTCATCGGGACAAGGCCCCTCTCCCAGGGGTTCCTGGTCAGTGTTAGATCCTAATTTGGGACTCACCCTCAAAATCACTGCTGCTGGTCGAGGACTCTTTTTCTGGATGGATCAGGGGTTGTCCCAAAGGCAAGTGGGAGGCTCTGGTATCATACTTAGGATTCGGTTGGCCGAGCAATCCCGTCTCCAAACCTGGCAATGAGCATTGCATAGGGTCACGTGGGAGGCGCAGAGGGACGGAGGGGAAGGCGTTCTGTCAGCTCTGAAGCAGCGCCCACGGGCCGTTGCCGGTCATTTACGGGGTGGGGAGCACCTGAGTCTACCTCCTCTCGTCTCCCGAGAGGGTCCCATCGTAGCAGTGCTGGCTTCAAGGTACGTATTCTTTTGAAAACATAACGTTTACCTTTTTTTCCCTGTTTATAAACGTAATGCGTATGCATCATAGAAAAGCTCGGAAATGTGGAAGACAATCAAGTAGGGAAAAAACGCCCCGAACACCCCTCCCCTCGGATATTATCCCAGTTCCACTCTTTCTTTTCCTATGCATGTTTTTACACAGTGCGCACCACCTTATACATTACAAATGCATTTTATTTTACCTTATACATTATACCACAAACATTTTTCTCATGTCACTAAATATTAAGAAGTAATGGTTGTATAGCATTCTGTTTTATGGATAATTCAAGGTTTATCTAACCGATGTTCTACTGTGGGGTGTTTAGACTTTTCAAGTTTCACCACTGTATATACTGTTGTGATGAATGTTGTTGTGCAGAAGACTTTGTTTTTATAACGTCTAGATTCCTGAAAATATAATAGCGTCTTGTTAGCAGACTGAGCTGTGTTCTGTGATAGGATAAAGAGTTCTGTTTATTATTACCTTGAGCAAATTGTTTTACCTCCCCCACCTCCCTTCAGGTCTGCAAAGTGAGACGTCTGTTTTGGATAATCATGTCCACTCCTTAGAGTCATTGTAGGGATTAAAGGGTAGCACTTCACCTGTGTGTCAGCTCGGACACAGTGCAGGCTGCATTGACCACAGCTGGTCCTAGTGCCCAGACGGTGCCTTCCGTCTAATAGGGGCTCCGTGATCATCATCATTATTATTATCTTGGACAAAGGGATTGACATTTCAGAGCTTCCTGGTTTTTATTGTGAAACGACTTCCAGGGGAAGTATTTTAAAGACCAGCCCCCGGTATGGATTTTTGGGAAAATAGACGATGAGATGTTTTTCCCCTGCCGTTGATCTGTCCCATCCCTTAGTGGGACTGTGGCAGACACCTGACTAGCCCTGCACCACCCCTCCCGCCCCGTGCCTGTCAGTCCTAGCTTTGCCTGAGCTGGACGACAAAGCTTCTTTCTTTTCGGTTCGAAATTGTTGATTCTGATCTCCAGTCGTGTCCACTATGACCTTTGCCCTGGATCATCAAGAAGGTTGTAATTACAAACCTCCTCCTCACTGTCCTCCCTGGTACATGCAGCCTTGGAAGCTGTGTGTGCCAGAAGCCCTGGCTACAGACAACACAACAACAAGAAATACGCTTTCATTTTGTGAACCATTGAGATTTCAAGACTCACTGTTTTGAACAGCAGAGCCTGGCCTATCCTGGCCAATACCCATCTAGAATTTCCATTTGTTGACATTAGTTGAGTGGCTACTTTGTGCGGTCCCTGTGCTAGGTGCTTAAATATATTACCTCATTTAATTCCCCCAGTGACCCTGGAAAGTAATCGCACGTTAGGAATACGCTCGTTTTGCAGGTGAGACCACTGCAACTCGGAGTGAGAGGTTCATTGACTCGCCCAGTTCTGTGGCGCAGCTGATTAGAGCTAGTCAGAGCCCCAAAGGCAGGGGACTTAACCAGTGTATCATCTTTAGAAAAGTGCTTCTAAAACGATGATGCACATGTAGGTTTACCTGGAGGTCACGTTAAAATGCAGGTTCTGATTCAGTAGGTCTAGAGTGGGGTCTGAAAGGACACTTCTAACACGTCTCCAGGCGATGGCGATGCTGCTGTCCCGCCATCGCACTCTAAGTATACGATTTTAAGCTCTATTGTTTATTGGTTTGGGTGCATGGCCACCCAATTCCCACCTTATTTCAGGTAGGAATTATCCCTCAGAAGCTGAAAGACACTCGAGGGTATCTCAGCAGGAGGGGGATAAACTAAATAAGGTCTAGAGAGGCCAGGCACCTGGTCTGGTACCTACCGGACGGCTGCTCTTGGATTTGACTGGGGATTGTGGAGTCATCTGTGGTATGGGGCTCCTCACAGTCTCGGCAGCACAAATAGAAGATCTTTGAAACCAGTCTTCGGTAGGCTGCGGTAGGAGGAAAAGAAATGAGAGCCATGGGTTCTGGGGTCTGAATTCCAGATGCCCACTGGAAATGTACTGTGGTGAGGGTCATATTGGGTCAGTCTCTCCCAAAGTAGAATAGTCTTCTCCTCTCTCAAACCTGCAGTTACCCATGACCTGCAGGTCCAGACCTTTCTGCCTCGGCTGCCCTCTTTAAAGGTATCTCCCCAGTTCTTACATAGTTTCCTTACCCATGGAAAGGAGTCGAAGCCTCTGTTATGCCAGTTTTGTCCGCAGGGCTGCTTTGTTGACTCAGCTGATCTTGAGTTTGAGCCCAGTTCCCTGGGCAGGGCTGTTTCCTAAATAAATATTAGACCATGTCTGAAAAATGCCAGTCCTTTACCTGTGCTCACAGTCCCAATATCACCCGATGACAGCGAAATCCCTGCTCATGTAGAAATGCAATAAGCATGCTCAGCTGTCAGGTAGATCTGTGTTCTACCCCATTTCTAGGTGCCTGTTCTTGGGTAAATCGCTTAACCTTCTTGAGCCTCGCTTTTATCATGGAGCCTGCTTCGCAGAAGTAACGGGTTCAATCTATGAAAAGTGACCCTTGTGGTGCAAGGTCCATAATAAGTGCCAGTCAGTGGTCATCTCCTGTCCCTTCCTGTGGCTCACTGCTCCCAGTGATTCCATGAATAGAAGCACAGGCTTGGAGGTTTCGGTCCTGGTTCTGCCACTACCTTGCTATATGGCTTTAGATGAGTCCGTGCTTGTCTGTCTCAGACTCCTCGTCACCAAGAAGGGAGAGTTAGGCTGGATATCTTCAAGGATCGTTCTAGCTCTGACGGCCCAGAATTATTAAGCCTGGTTTTCGTCCCAAACTCCTTTCTCTGTGTACTTTTTGTTGTTCCAAACTCCTTTCTTTGTCTCTGGATTTCCTAGTCTCACTCTCCCCTTTCTGTGGCAAACCCCTCTTTTGGGAAATTGTTGTCATGGTATCGGTAAATGTCTCTCACAAGACCCGATTCACTATGTGAGCTATCGCACTCCTGGGCACTGGTTCTTACTTTCTCTCCTGCTAAATATATCCTGGCCCAAGCCACCATATTTCTTGGCAGAACTAAGGCAATAGCGTTCCGATTTCCCTGTTTCTCTTACCCTAGACCTTTTAACAATTAATACAAAATCTTTAATTTCCTAAACATGAGATGTTCAACGTAGCACAATTTATCTGTTGTGGCTGGATATATCTAGCCGACAAGACACACAGATGTCCCCGTCGTGTGGGATTCTTGGACAAGCAGGGTTACGCCCTGGGCCTGTTTGTCCCATCACCAATAGTCTTTGGGGTCTGTTGCCAAGTCAGGTCTGCAGCACGATTTAAGCTCTGACACACTTCATGGATTTGTTTTATTGCCTTAGGATTTGTAAACAAATAGAAATTTATATAAAAGCAATTCACTATTTTGTTTTGGAGATGCACCATTTAGCAAAATAAGCTTGCCATTAATATACTTATTCTGACACCCCTTGCTTTGGTTTCAATTTTCTTCATCTGCTTATCTAAACTCCTGCTTCCTGGGATTTTGCTTTGTTTTCGGTTGACTTGTGTATGTAGAACGTGGAAGAAAGTGTTTTATAAGGGGGGATTGGAACAAGCCCCTGCCACGTGTCAGGCCTGAGAACTAATGGTTGGAGGCCTATCACCCAGGTGATCAACTTGTATACACTAAGTAATTGCTAAACATTTGCCTTAATCCCTTGACACCTCCATGAGCACAGATTCTGCCTTGTTAAATTAAGGAGAGAAGCTCACTTTAGTCAGCTTATATTCTGTAGGCAGTGATTTCCAGGGTGTTGATCATACAGGCTCTTGTTGGCCACGGAATTCAACACACCATGCCTAAGTACAGACTTTTGATCAATTGTAGTGTATTCTTTCCTGCTTGTCATGGTCTTAGTTACATTAAACTTGCGGCCTCTTCTGGGAAAAAACTCCTGCATCATATATACATATACTCTCATTATGTGTACTCTTATGTACTTATCTTAATCAATGGCAACCTTTCACTAGATGACTTAGAATTACAATGGCCATTATGGCAAACTTCCAATGTCAAAAATAAGAGATTTAAGAGGGGTTCCAGAGAAGAGAGAAGACAAAAAGGCCAAGCATGATTGATATGCTCTGGCCTCCAAAAGAGGGGGGAAAAAAAGGTCTCATCTGACTCAAATCTTCCGAAACCTGATGTCTTTGCATCTCTCCTTCTCTCTCCACCTCGCTTCATCTCTGCCTGCTCACACCCCTTCCGTTGCTTTCCCAACTGCAACTTTCTTCACAGGTGTTTCTCTAGGGAAGAACATTCAACGTTGCACACTATCCCCCTACACCAGAAGGTAGAGGTTGAATTAAACTCTGGGTGAGAGTTGAATTGAGGGCTAATGTAGGATAGTCCCAACTTTCAGAAAGACAGAAAGTTGCTGTACAATTCAGGACTCTGTTACTCTGTTACTCATTGTCCTGAGCTATCATATTTGTGCCGGTTAGTTTGCTTAATTGTTGACCTTCTTCAGTGGGAAATGTTTAAAAGCAGCAGATGGAAAAGACCAGATTTAATTAACCCACCTATGCATACATTTTAAAGCGTAGCCTTGAGATGGTAAGAAACATAGGAACCATATAAAACTATTTCAAAAGGCTTTCTCATAAGGGGAGATTGGGCAAAGATTCAAAATTGCAAACAAAATCAAGATGAATCAATAGGAGACCCAATAGACATCAAGACATTTTCAAAGAACATTCTAGGATAGACCTAAAATAGGGGATTTAGGTAAAATCAATTTGCATGGGCTATGCCGACGTAGAGCTGATCATTTTCAAAGAGTCCTAAATAATTAACTGGTAATCAAAACAACTGTAGGGCCTCTTGGATAAAACAATTGGCTCCTGAAATAAAAACAGGACCAAACGTTCCTCTGGTCTTAAAGAATGTGGAGCCTATAGATAAGGGCACGTGTATTTACTGAGCAGAAAAACCATTGGAAGAATTCATGTTCCATAAGGCAGAAGGACAGCTGTCCAAATCTGTCCAGTGGTGCAACTCTGGGGAGACCTTAGCACTCAACACTTTCTTATCCTTCCTCTGAACTCCCAAAAGCACCTGTCGATAAACATGGATGGACAATGACACCTAGCTTGTGACATGGTTTCTCATGTGTAAGACTGATTTTTCACTGCCAACTAGGACAAAGGCTGATTGTTCTGTGTGACCAATACTTGACCCACTCCAAGTGCATGACTCCCCAACCCCCTCTGTGGACTGTCTTCTTACACAGCATTGGGAGAAGTCAACCCTTCCTGGGGCTGTCCCCCAAGCTGGAGCAGACTCTGGGGACAGGAATTCTCCATAGAAGCTGGGCAACTCAAGGTGGTCATTGTCCCTTGCCTTGGCTGACATAGTATACAGCCGCACTAGGGCACAGCTGACCAATTCGTAACCCTTAGCTCAAATAATTATGGATATTAGAATCTGTATTTTGGCTCATCAGGGGAGCACGAACCATTGCCAGCACTTCATGTTGTCCTGGATCTAAGCCCAGACAAAAGGCAACCTGGCCCTTTAAAGTAGACCCAGGGAATCGTTTGAAATTTAGTTTCTTGATCATGCCTGGGAAATCATGGATTGTGATTCTGGAGTGCCTTCCAGACTCTTCTGAAAATGCTTGAAATTATTGTTATTTGTCTTATAGTCATTCAGTGGCTGTTGTCCAGAGTCAAGTACTTCATGCAGCCACTGGCTCAGCTTATGAATCCACACAGGAGTCAGAGACAAAAACAAGACGACATCAGGCTTGCTGACGCCGGCACTGAAAAGGTCTCTGTGTGGGAGGGACGGGACTTTAAAAAACACCTATGACAGCGGTGACGACCTGGACAATCCCCGAGGGTCTCTCCAGCAGCTTTGGGGGGAGGAGGACCACAAAGGGGAGACTGAGAATGAAAAAGAAGTTTTCACACTCCCAAGTAAAGACAACTGCTCTGTAGCCATGCTCACAGGTAGTCACCAGAACCTGTCTTAAACCCATTTGACCCACTCCTGAAACGTCTCCTGGAAGTCACTGACACATGACAGCAGGTACATTTTGACAGCTGATCGTCTCCCGTTCCTGAACCCTCCTGCCTCTGAAATCCCACCTGTCCGCGAGCTCAACACCTCCCCAAGCCCGTCTACCTGCCCCGAGCTTTGCCCAGTTCTCCTGTTCAACAAGAAGTGCATTCCGTTTGGCGCATCTGGATAGAGGTCTCTCCCTCAGGGCAGCACCCCCCCCCCCTCAGTGTTTATGGAAAAGAGTTTTGAACTTTCGAACCCTCTTGAGAAATGCAAAGGCTCTTGGGAAGAGCAGCATAGCAGCTATAAGAACAATCTTAGGGTATAATTCATCACCGTTTTACCCTATACCCTCTTCCATCCTCCTCCGCCCACAATCACCACACTGGTGTCCATGTCCAAGAGTTCTTTCCTTTTTTCTCTTTTTTGCTTAATCCTTCCATCCCCCTCCTAACACCCTCACCACCATGGGATATACTTCTTCAAGGTCTATTGATTAGCCATGAAATTTAGAATTTACTTCCTTGAATCTCAGTTTTCTAATTTGTAAGATGGAAGTAATGAGACTATCTACCCTAGAAAGTGGTTGTGAGGATTCAGTGATGACAGGAAGTGCTCAGCACAGCTTCTGGACCTTGGAAAGGCTGCGTGAACGTCAGTGCCGCTGCTGAGCTGCTGCGGGCTGGGCCGTGGGCGGCTGTTCCCTGCAGTGCACGTGCCCTCCTCTAGATGGAAGCAGGAGCCAAAGAAAGGGCCCTGACTTGTCCCCCGTGGGCTCTGACCTTTGCAGTGACTCCACTGCACTGAGACTAGAACCAGAAAGATCAACAAGGGCAACCGGGAAGCCTGCTTCTGGAGCTGGAGGTGCCCTTGGAGGTCTTTCAGCACAGGTGGGCAGACTGGGACCCAGAGGGAGGGAGAAATAACGGGGTCAAGGTAAGTTAGAGGCAATGTCTGCTTCCCGTAGCAAAGCAAAAAGGCTCCAGGAGTGATGGAGACAGTGTCCCTTCCAGTACAGAGCAAATACCCCCTCCTGCTCTCAGGTCTAACCTTTGAGCCTCACTCACCTGCAGCTGGTGGAGCAGAGAGGAGGCTGTCTGTGATGTCACAGAGCCGGGAGCCAGGGAATGTTGAGGGCAGGGCTGTCTGACTGGGCAGCAAAGGCAGGGAGAAGGGAGCAGGTCTGTTGACCCCTCCC